CCATAGAATGGAATAACAAAACATCCTGTATCTTCATATTATAATAGGGAAGGCAATTTCAAACAGGAACAAATAAACATTTAACAAGCTAAATAACAACTGCTTACAAGCCTCATTTAAATTTGATGACAACGTTAAATGTTGCTTTAATGATGCAGACCTCATAATAACATCCTGTTTTTTTATGCAAAAAGGGCAACCCTAGCTAATATGAAATTGTACCAGGTATGTATTTTATTTTTAAAACCATTTATAATAAAGAATTTGATTTCTTTTATTTTAGATAGCTGTCGCCCGCGACTCTGTCTGCGCTAAATTAAAAAAAAACACAAAATTTCAGCGAGATCCATGCAGCCGTTTTGGAGATACCTTGAAACAAACATCCATCCATCCAAATATACACATTTATAATGTTAGTAAGATTAGAAAGATGTACATTAAAGTGAAAACTTTCACGTAATCACTCAAGGACACATCTATTTAAAAATTAAAAGGGAAAATAGATTATTTCTACAACATCTTTATTAAATAAAAGATGGAAAAATCTAGAAAATATTATCAGGACGCGAAGAATTTAATTCCACGACGCAAAAACAATTGAGAGTTGACTTTATTAAACAAGTTCATCGTCGCCGTGAGCTGTAAAAAAAATAAGTAAAACGATAGAAGATTTTTACTCCACGTCGCAGTTACTTATCAAATAATATCAAATTCATTTGGAACAGTTCGACGCTTGAATTCGACTTTGAAATTAATTTATCATGGGTTTCTGACCCCAAAATCGTTAGATAGTGAAGTTTAAAAGATATTGTTAAAGATAATGACAGGGATGATGATATGTTATAGAGATTTTGGTCTCAGAAATCAATGGTAAAAGGTAAATTTGAATTTCGTTCTTTGTTGTTCGAAGTGAGGAAGTTGGAAGAGATTTTTTTACATCTAAATATGAATGCAAAATATTATTTATATTTTTAATCAACTTCAATACGGAGGAGCTTCGGTTCTGGAGGAGTCTAACAAGCTATAGATTTAAGGAACTTTTGTATCGTTTATCTGAAGACACAATATACTTAGAGGATCAAAGGGATTCGATTTTGGGGCCGTCCTTTGTTTATCGAGTGAGACAAAAGACTACTTATAGTGATAGATCGACGCACTATCGGATACAATAATATAATGAAAACAATTTGTTATATATTGTTTATTTTCGATGAAAGTGACTAAGAAATACGGCATTCTTGTCGATAGAGAAATTTTCAATACTTTTGTTATCGTCTGATAAAGTCATGAAACAACTTCAAGTTTCTGCTTTATTTAAGACGTGTTATTCTTGGTCTTCTCCTATTTCTTTTCCCATCTTTCATTTTCTATTATTGTGTTTATAAAATCGTAGTTCCTGTCTTGTTTTCTATTAGTTTAATTAGTTCTTTCTTCTTACACTCTGTACAGAACAACTAAACAAATCGATCTAGTGGTAAATCTTAGTGCGATTGCAGTGTCTTCATACAATAAAATAACACACTGAAATAGTTATTCATTATTTTAGTTAAAAACCTTACTTAAATGTGCTTAAAAGGACATTTTACGTAGTATTAGGCTTGGAGTTTTAGTTGGTCCCTAAACGCTTGTCTAGCAAACTTGCATACAAGGCAAATTCCATGTTATAAAGCAGTTTTGACTTTGACTTCGCCTTTGACATTTAAGTAACGGGTCATGCCCTCCCCCCACCTCCTGCCCCCACCCCTGCCCCAAAGAGACTAGCTCCATTAGCATAATCTGTTTAATTCAGTTTAATAAGTCAGAAGCATTTCAAGGATCATTCAGTTAATCCCAAAACAGTCCTTTTGTGAATAACGAATGGTACAATGACATTTTCGCTGACCTAAATTTTGTGATATCACATCTTTTGATAGTATATCTTGACATACTTACATACTGTACAACTTAGAAGTTGGTATCGTCATCGTCTCTCTGTCTTTCACTTCTACCAATCACGTAGTGTCAACTCACTTGGTGTTCATTCTCCAGTTTCCATTCCATTCCATTGAATTTCAGTGATCCCTTAATATTGTCTCCATTAGTACGTTATGTTAGATAAGTTCATCTAGAACATTCTCTACCAAGATTTTTCTGATTTGTTCGAATGGATAGCGTAACATTTTTCGTTTGTGTTATCATGTAAATTGGAAGCACTTGTATCCAATTTTTAGGTCATTTATGCAAGTAAATTTTTATAAATACGAATTAATGTATTCACGACTTGGGCTTCACGATTTACGAAAACAATCAAATAATTTGTCGGGTCAGTGAGTTTAGCGGAGGCAATGACGCACCAACGAACAGACGGCCGCTTAACGATCCGACAAATCTTTGTATAGATTATAAAACTTTAAGTTTATTCTCTAAAATAAAGACGAGATTAATAATAAATTGTATATAAAATACACTTGTGAAAATTATTCATAATTAATTAATGATTTATCAAGCTTTTAATCTCAATAAAAGTAATTTTTAAATATTAATTATTCGTATTCTTCCCCAGTATCTTGTGAGTAAAGCCAATCCGATTTATTCAATATATTATAAAAAATATTGAAGCGTGGTTGACTATGGCCTAATCACCCTTAACTTAGGGTAGGCTCCGAGCCCCTCGGTGGGGACGTATAGTGAGCTGGTGATGATGATGATGATGAAAAAATATTACTTTCTGTTTTATATTAGTATTTTTTTAAATTAAATCTAATCTTACTAATACATGCCATTGATGGATGGATGTTGTTAGAAGGTATCTCTGGAACCGCTCCATTGATTTTGCTGAAATTTAGCATAGATGTAGAACATAGCCTGGAAGAACACATAGGCTTTTTTAATCCGTGACGGAATCGCGGGAGACAGCTAGTTTTATACTATTAAGCTTACAACTGAATTAATGTCAGTCAACAGGTGTATAATTTGCTACTAATTGCACGTACTTAATTACATTTCACATTCAAAATGGCGTTGTAGTGCAGACGCTAATACATTGCAGTCATTATTCGCCATCATCCAAGCATGTCTCATACACATACGGCAGTGTATTATGTAAATGATACTATTCTCGTTCGACAGCTTGTTAAGACCACAATCGTATTAATGAGGTCGCGGCTCGTTAGCTATGCATTCTGGAAGCATTCATGTCAGCTAAGTAAGTCTACCTGGACGCTGATATTTAGATTTGTCTGTGTAATTCTGTTACACGATTTGGGCGACTCACTCGGTGCAATACCACGAGCATACAGAAGATAGGCGTGAAGCGGAAGTATTTCTGCATTTTGTCTGATGAGTGTGCTTGTCGGAGACCTAATTTCAGGCTTATTTTACATCCCCCTCTTTTGTTATACGGAACGGGTTGTAAAGGGAAGTGTATTTGACTGTGTAGAAGGAGAAATATCCTCTTTCTGTGCGTCCCCTTCTCCATCAATTGCAGATGTCTATGTGTAGCGGTCGCTTCTCATTTTAAGCGAATTTAGTTTGCTGCTCGCTCGTTTGCTACCTTATGATATAAAAAATAGAGAGGCTGCATAAATCCAATAAAAATGTTATTCATAACGAATACTTTCTCGTAAATTTTCATGCTACACTCCCTAGATTGGTAATGAACGATAATCTTACTGCCTTACTGATTTACTGTGAGAAATCTACACCTTCATTAATAGTTATGGAAGCTTTAATTAACTATTATTGTTATTATCAGTAACCATTGGTTCATGTTTAATGAATATTTGTATGCAATCAAATCCCATACGTTTGCTCCCCGCTGCTACACTGATTGCTCATTAGCAATTCCCCCAGTGCTCAATGGTGCGTCAACGGCCGTTGCGGTCCAACCTGCACCATATATACATACAACTTTGCATATAATTGCATACATTACAATTATACAATCAAAATTTACTCCGATTTACTCATACTAGTATGTTAAACATAGGTCCCCTAGCACAAGGTGAAACACAAATAAAAAAAGAAGGAATAGAAACGTCCCGGAGGCCTAATTTAGTTCTCTTTCCCTTCCCATCCTTTTTCTTATAAGGAAAGGATGGGAAGTGGAAGCGGATTTTCCGGATGAGAGAATGCATGGAAAGGGAAAATATTTTCTTTCTGTGCATCCTCTCCTCCGTCGATTAAAGGTAGGCAACGCATATGCAATTGGCTATGGCCAACACTCACTTCGCTATTTCAGCTATTTCAGGTGGCCGCTCGCTCGTTGGCCACTTTATGATAAAAAAACAAAACATATTCCAAATTGTAAATCACAGTGTTTGCCAAGAATCTGTCGACGTTGAATGACACGTGGAAAAAGTTGACTTTGTTATAAATATTTGAACTACAATATTATTATACAAACTACGTCAGTATAATTTATCACAATGCAAATCCTTTAATTGTTCATAAATTTATTTGTTACAATGACTTGGGTATTATTGTTTACACAAACTAGATATGACAGATTAGTTCACATAACTGTATTTTATGGCAAGAGATATTAAGAGATACTATACTATTGTTTTATAATAATTCAACAATCTTATATCCATCATAAATATTATAATGAAACTAGAGGCAGAGGAACACAGAAGAAAGTATGGATGGACAGTATGAAAGAGGATATGCGTAGGAAGGGGTAGGTATGACGGCTAGGCGGGCCCACGGAAGTAAGCTAAAGCGTTCCCGTGGTGCCCGCCATAATGCGTCAGAGGGCAGTCAGGTTTTAGTGGGTATTCTGGTCACCTTCTGTGGCCGGCGAGTCCCACACTCCCTACGCCATTGCACCGCCCGGCGTAGGCGTGCGTAAATGCATTTCCTGACCATAAAAAAAAAAAAAAAAAGGTATGACGGCTGATAGAGATGTATGGAGGAGTAGTACATACTGTGCCGACCCTCCGTAGGGACGAGGGCAGGTTGATGATTATTATAATCAAAGTGTGTAGTCAAGTATGAAATCTTATTGGTTTAAGACTTACCATCGTAAATGACTCCTCTAACAAGTTCGTCAGTGTCGAACACCGCATGGCTGACTGTCAAATTAATATCACTATCTTTCTCACTCAACGTAACTATATCGGCACTGTCACTTGGGATCCTTGCGAAGGCACAGGCACCAATCCCCTTCTCACTTACACTAACCACATCACTCTTTGTCGTTGTTTCTATATCGTTTGTCGTTGTCTCATCATAGATTGCTGCTTCATCAACGGGTACGCCTAATATAGTCTCTAATTCATCGTCAATGTATTTCAAATTTTCTTTATCTTTAATTATATCGGTATCGAAGTTGATAGGTGGTCCAGGAGATCTACCAGGTGCGGGATCTCCACTCGGCAAACTGAGCGTGCAACTGTAAGGTAGTGAGGCCAATATAATTGTGGTAGTTATAAGATTTACGATGTATCGATTCATCTTGTTCTTGTATTTTCGTTTTGTTATATTTTTGCATTGCTGTTCCAGTTTTAGATATATGTACGTCATAAAAATATTCGATAACATGGCGTATTTAAGCGAGTTTGTTTTGATTTTCAGTTTCTTTCATGGTGTTGGCAGCACCTGTAGAAAAATAATAACATGTTTAGATTAAATTTATAAAACAAACTACGTCATGAATGAAATTTTTATATAATACGAAATACGACGCAGTTAACGTGTTTATTACATTTACGATTTTATCATCTTTTATCATCAAGCGCTGAATTATTTTTATCCTTAAGACTAAATGTTTTAAAGCAACTTTGAATTATTGTCGAAGATGTTATTAAAGGGTTGTTTTCCATGATCCATATTCATATAATGAAAATATATAATTCAATATTCAGTGAGTTGAATAAGAACTTTTTGCATGTCAACATTTTAAGAAAAATATTTTTACAGCCAGTTAGTTATGTAAATATTGCTAAAAAAATTTTATAAGTATAATTTTATCTTAATTGTCGGCATTTAAAAACGTAATAAAAAAGTAAAACGACATTGTCGTGTATGAAATCTCAACAGTTGGATAGCTTGTACAATATTTATTTTGCAACGTAATTAATTAAAGCGTTGTTCACAATGAACATTTATGAAAACAAAATAAAGTGAAAAACATGCTTCTTAGTTCTTAATCTACCTCTACTTTTCTCTCCTTCTTTCTTTCTCTCCCTCTCTCTGTTTGTCTTCTCTTCATCCTACTTCCTGTCTCATTAGAATTCAAGGGACCTTTCGTATTCTATAGTATACTAAGTTTTATATTGACACTCAATTTCGTAGAGAACGGGATGAATAAGAAGGAGAAATATATTCTTTCTATGTGTCTCCTTCTGCAACTATTAAAGGTAAGCTAGGCTACATATCTGTAATTGCTGATTTACCATCTTAAAATATTAAAAACATTTCATAATAGAACCTTGTATCTGTTAAAAAAAAATTATTGACTTTATTACGAATTTACTATCATACATTTTTGTTTTTTTTTTCTTATACGTCTCAAGTATGAAAGACACCTAACATTTCAGACCAATATAAAGTCTTCCGTGAATCAAGATAATTTTATTTCATCGGTACTTCACAATAGACGGTTCATCAATCTACAAAAATTGTGATTTCAAAATGCAAGTTGAAGAGACATACCAAGATTTCGATACAACAAAAGTAGTTTGTACGAGCAAAGAACTACCATGCAGCCTTCAAGCGTCGTTGGAGAAAATAGCTCAAAAAGAAGGTTATCTTAAATATAAAATACTAAGTAGGTCGATATCCACTGAAGGAGGAAATTATATGGCTAAGTTGTATGAGGTAGACATTAAAGGAAAAACACCGGTCGGTGAAAAGGAAACGAATATTTTTATAAAGCATTCCATTCCTGAATTTAATTTAGCTGATGTGTCAGAAATATATTGTAGAGAACTGTTCTTTTATAATGAAGTGAGCAAAGTCTTTACTGGACTTGAAGACGAAGGCAAGATCCCAGTAGACGAAAGGTACAGATCAGCTAAATCTTACTATGAAAGTAACTCAGAAGCTATTATATTACAAAATCTAGCCAAAGATGGTTTCACAACAGTTTTTAGAATGGATGTAATGCCGTTAAGGTTTGCTGAATTATCAATACAACAGCTCGCAAAGTTTCATACTTTAAGTTTAGTTATGGAAAGGAAACGACCAGAATTTTTTGCAAAGAAAATTAAAAACTTAAAGCAAATTATGCAATTTGAGGAAAAAAATCTGGATTTCTGCAAAAGAATGTTCGACACTTCAGTAGCAATATTAGAGACAGAAACAAAGAAGAAATTAAATGGTAATTATTCACAACTATTGGAAAAGTATAAGAAATATATAAGTGGCGATGGAACAAAGTTTAAGTGTCTATGCCATGGTGATTACAGAATGAATAACATATTAATGAAAATGAAGGTATAGAACAAGATTTTACAAAAAAAAAATTATAACTTTTATAATTTCTTCATTTACCTCCATCGATTAATACAAAACATCATCTCTTCTGTGGCAAAATACTTTTAAACAAAAAATTCCATATTCTATTTATTAAACTTATACAGGGTGTCTCAAAAGGTTACGTACATAGGAAGGGGGATGTGGGGAAGGGTAATTTTGTAACCGATGACCTACAAATATTGCTATATTTAAAAAAAAGCTATTATGTTATCGTCAATAACCCTTTATCAATATGAAATAAAAAAAACAATACAACTAACAAAGACTTTAAAGAAAATTAAAATTGCCCCAGAAGGTGTAAAAAAATTTAAGTTTAAAAAAATGCCATTTATTTTTTTTAATACCCAGAGGGGAATTTTTATTTTATTTTTCTGGTGACCCTTGTGACCACTCCTATCATCCCCCTTCCTATGTACGTAACCTTTTGGGACCTATATGTGGTCTTGTCCGCTAAATGTAACTTATATTTCTTTTTCAGGAAGGTGAAATAACAGAAGTGATACCTGTCGATAACCAAATAATATTATACGGTTCTCCGATGGCTGATTTCGTGTACTTCATTTACGGAGCCACTGACAGGGAATTCCGAAAGAATCATTTGGACCATTTAAAGGACCTGTACTATGCAACTATGAAGAACTACCTCAAATACTTTGAAATGGATGTAAATGAAACATATCCAAGAAAACTATTTGAAGATAATTTTCATGAATGCACAGATTTTGGATTATTATCTTTGTTATTTTTGGGTCCATTCTTTTTCGCGGACGAAAACGAAGTTCCAGATTTAAGTAAAGATGATTTATCAACGCACACAGTTAGCGTTGATCTTAAATTTAAAGATAGATTACAAGAAGTCGTACAAGAAATGATTGAAAATGACAAACTATAATAAATTGTGAATGTAATTGTTAATAGTTTTCTTTATCCCTTACTTTTTAAAACTGTGTGAACACTTTATAAAACTATCCATTAAAGTATTCCTCACCTTCATCTGAACAAACTGCCCAATCTATAAGGATACTTTTGCCTCAATAATCTGTCCTGATTTGTCTAACATCTAAGTCGTCCCTACGACCGTAGTATTAGCTTTTCAGTGTAACAATTGAACAATATCTCGTCTGTCTTTCTTTATTCTTAAATATGGCATAACCTTCGTTTCTAGTACACTTTTAATCACAACATCTGCACTTAACACATTTTTTTTCTGACAGGCTTTAATAATATCCTTAAATAAAAAATTCGCACACTTAATAAAAAGTTTAAAAATCGTTCAATATTATTGTAAAGTCTGTAGTAATATATCCTCTCGCCTAAATGGCGCCAATAGCAAAACTAATAAAAGATAAGTAATTGTATTTTGATAAGCATTATACTTAGTCACGTTATCTGAACTGTTTATGACAAACAAACAAAATCCTAATATATCTTTCATGTAAGACATTTATGTACCTTCTATAAATTGCATCAAATTACATAATTAAAGAATTAAAGAGTCATACACACTTTTTCCTAAGAGTATAAGAAGCTAGATTTGTTTTTTTTTTTATTTAAATATTAAATTAATTTCTCTATTTAATCTTTAACTTTGACTAAATTTGCAAAACTAAAACAAATACGATTCTAGAGTTGTGAAAATCTGCTCTGAATCGGTTCAACAGTTCGGAGCAATAAGCTTGAACCGTTGAGCTACGGCTCTTCATTTTCAGCTCAAGGCGATGTATTAGAATTATTTGTGTGAAAGTACCACGAGCCCCCTGGTGGCAGTTCGTAACATGAAACGCAAATAACTCTATGCATACAAATTGAATTGAAATGCAACCCGGTTAACTGATCTGATTCACACCTTTGCACCGTGAACATAACCATCAATATTATTTAAGTCACCCATGACTATACTATTCACATAAAATTCTATTTTATACTAGAAATTACTTTACTTTAAATTATCTCAAATGTGCAATAAGCCTTGTTGTCCTAAAAGATATAAATCCTTCGACAAATTGAGATAATGTTATTGTACTAGAAATTGACAATTAAACTACACCTAAGATTAACAATAAGAAAATGGAAATTGAAGAAAAATATCACGAATTTGATAGAAAAAAATTAATTTCTACATGCAAAGAAGAAATACCTTTGCAACTTCAAAAAATATTACAAAAAATATCTCTGAACGCCGGCTATTTGAAATATGAAATACATAGTAGACCAATTTCTACAGGGGGAGCAAATTACCTCGCTTGTTTGTATGAAGCAGATATAAAAGGGAAAACTAAAACAGGTAAAAAAGAATTGAACATTTTCATAAAACAAACAATACCACCAACAGATATATTAGATGTAGCAGAGTTGTATGATAAAGAATTATTCTTTTACAACGAAGTTAGTAAGATTATATTGGAACTTGAAATTGAAGCTTCGATACCAAAAGAAGACATGTACAAAACTGTAAAGTTCTATCAAGAGAGTAATAAAGATGTTATAATACTTAATAATCTTACTAAAGAAGGTTATAATACTGTTCATAGAATGGACATAATGCCGATTAGTTTTGCAGAATTGTCTGTACAAGAGTTAGCAAAACTTCACAGCTTAGGTATAGCTATTGAACATAAGAGATTGAATTTTTTTAACAAGAAAATTAAAACTTTAAAACCATCAATAGAATATAAAGATAAAAACATTTCGATTTGTCAAACATTATATAACTGTTCAGTACAGACTTTGGATGGTGAAATTAAAAACAAATTAGACGCAAAACTACCGGAATTATTAGATAAATACATAAATTATCTTACCGGTAATGGGACGAAGTTCAGATGTTTGTGCCACGGTGATTACAGGATGAATAACATATTGATGAAAATTACGGTAATTTATCTACTTCTTACTACTAATATAAATGCGAATGTTTAGATGGATAGACGTTTGAATGTATCTTGGGAACGGATCAACGGATCTTGTTCAAATTTGGCACAATTATAGAACATAGTCTAGAAGGACATATACTTATTAATATTCTTTTAATGCACACGGACGGAGTCACGGGCGTCAGCTAGTATTCTGTACATAAGCAATTGACTGGCAATTTTCAATTTGCTCTAGCTTAGTTTTAAACTAAGCACACTATTAAACAGTAGTCACTCATTGGTCGAAGTCCGACGACTTTTTTTTTGTAATTTCATTCGTTCCAGTATTTACTGTTTTGTTTAAGCTAGCGCTTGACCATGATCCGACCTGATGTTAGGTGGTGATGTGGTCGTAATATAATACGCACTAGCATAGTAAATGCCTAATACGACTTGACTATAAATATTTACTTAAAACTGGATACAAAGTTTACGCTATAAATAATATTATTATTATTTTCAGGACGGCATTGTGTCTGATGTTATAGTTATAGACTATCAATTTCTATTTTACGGATCTCCAATTATCGATTTCTTGTACTTTATTTATGGTGGAACTGATAAGGAATTTCGAAGGAAGCATTTAAAGCATCTTAAAGATGTATACTTCGGGACTATGGAAAAATATTTAAAGTATTTTGAGATTGATATAAAAAAAATATACCCAAGGAAAACATTCGAAAGAGAATATAATGATTGTTTGGATTATGGTTTGCAATTTATGTTATTTTTGGCACCATTATTTTTTATAACACAAGATGATATATCAGATTTTAAATTATCAGAAGACTCGGAATACAAAGTTAAATTGGACGATAGATTTCGTACCAGACTTCAAGAAGTTATTGATGATATGATTGATAATGGAAAATTATAAGAAAATAATTAATTTAATTTTTCCCAGTGGCGGTATTCATTATGACGAAATTAAATATTGGAATTAATTATTTTTAGCAAAATCGAAAGAAATAATTCTTGTCATTTTAAATAAAGGACAAAATGTATATCTGTTTATTAATTATCAATCTTACTAATATAAATGCGAATGTTTGGCTGGATGAATGTTGCAAGATATCTCCAGAAAGGATACATGGATTTCGCCGAAATTTCTAATAGATCTAAAACATAGCCTGGAAACATAGGCTACTAAGTTTTCTTTTAAAGTTTCGCGCGGTCGCTTTCGAGTTTGACATCTACTATTTTTAATATAAAATACATTAAATTAAACAGTGATTTATAGAAATTTAATGTAAAAATACCATTGAAAGTTACATTTTGCCTACTTTTTACAATGTTATTAAAATGTTGCGTTTGTGTGTGTGCATGTGTCTGTGTGTGTTCAAAAAATGCTAATATTTTATAATATCTACTATTTAGACCTGAACAAAGAGAAAAGGTTTAACAACGTGATAAGATTATTTAATTAAACTGTAATGATTATGTTTTATATCAAAATTACCTCTTGATATAAACAAAGTAAATAGACACAAGATATATTTATCTATGTTTCCGTTGATAAAATATTATCATAATTTAAAAATAAAACGACACATCTTACTTCTATTGTATTAAAAAAATATTAGCAGTAACGTGCAAATTAAAGAAAAACTTAATTAGTAACCTAGTGTTCTTCCAGGTTATGTTCTACGTTTGTCAAATTTAGCTGTTCTGGAGTTTTAATCCATCCATACTTACATCTAAACATTCGCATTTATAATATTAGTAAGATGTCACCCGGGATTAGTGTAGCTTCCTAACAGTTAAAAAAATAAAAAAGTAAAAAAAATAACATTGGTTTAATATTTTTTTAGCCTGTTCAAACAAATACATCTTTCCTCTTTATAATGTAAGTATAGAGAAATATTTCTTTTGTTCGTCAATAAAGATATAAGATTATACAAGGGTCAAATGAGTTTTTTTTAATCTCCTTTAATGAAATGCCTCCTATCCTATCTTCCACGTTACCTAGCATATATTAACAATATTTATCTTAATTTTTATACTAATCTTACGTCTCACTTCATATTTATATTATGAAGAAAGTTTGAATGGATAGATGTTCGTTAACACGTAACCATCCAGAACAGATGAACGGCTACAGCCTAACATAGCTAAGAGGATACCCGTTATAACTAAATAAAAACACTCACATAGACTTCATTTGGTGTAGGCACCGTTATAATATGATAAGAAGTTGAAACAATGTAACCTTTTTTTAATTCTATATAGACGGAGTCGCAGGCGACATCTAGTTACATTATAAATCAGACGTCATATAAAAAATAACAATAACGACCTCCAAATTCTTATATAATTAACAATATTTACGTAATATAACAATGTACATAATACGTAACAATTTACTATCTATAGATTAGATATCCATTATCTTTATATAATATTTACTTAACAATAACTTGCTATATACTGGTACAACTAAGACAAATAACTTATGTGTGATATGGTTTATATCATCTTAATATAATGACACTTTTGTGATAGACAATATTTTGTTGGATGCATGAAAACGTCGAATCAAATTGCGCAATACCACGACCAAACAAAAGACGATTAACGAGACATGGATTAAAGTGACGACAAAATTTTAATCGACGTTCTCTTTCCAACCTTTTCCAATAAGAAAATGATAGGAAGGCGTAGTTGATTTGGCGCAAGAGGCATAGGAAGGGGAAATATTCTCTATTTGTGCTTGACCTTCGTCGATTAAAAATAAGCAACGCATCTGCAAATAGAGATGTCTATGAGCAGCGGTCACTTCGCTATTTTGACGAATTAAATAACTCGAAGGTTCACCTTCTTTTTTTCTTACTTCTATAATATTTGTTCTTATTAAACAATTATCAATTCCCAGTGATGAAGAAGAGACGTAAATAATTGTTAAAAGAATAAAAAGATCGACGACAAAGCTAATCTGATCTGTTGTAGTTAGTAATTGAAACGTAGGAATGCAATTACTAGGATTCAATTCAAAGTAATACTATTAGAAAGTGTTGCATCAATTAGCATAGTCCAGGATTGCATTCGCAACGTTTAACAAAACCTTTATCCTATTAAGTGAACGGATTTCTTTGTAATATATTTACATCGAATTCAAAAGAATGTCTGTGATTGCATTGATTCAATTTGGAAGGTAATTAACTTTAAACCTAGATTTTATTACAGCCCAGCTGAATCAGTAAAAATAGCCTTCTAAATACAGAATAATTCTCATGAATATCATAGTTTTTTAACGTCTTTTTTATTTTTTTATTTAATAAAGATACTTACGACACTCTCTAAAGTATGGAATGACTGTGTGAAAGAGGATATGCGAAGGAAGGGGGTAGATTCGGATATGACGGCTGATAAAGATGTATGGAGGAGTAGTACATACTATGCCGACACTGGATAGGGATAAGAGCAGGTTGATGATGACTTACGACACTCTATCTTCCTTGGAACATCCATCAATTTTTTGTACCCTTCTACTGCTAGACGTTGGAATTTTAACGAATCTTTGCCTATTTTGCGCAAAGCGACGGGCACTGTTTGTCCAATCTCAGATGTTTCTTAATCAAATTTCTTTCTACGTCCAACACGATTATTTCCTACACCCTATCAGAGTTTCAATGACTTCAATCTATCCATTTGTTTCGAAACGTGTAAACAAACATATTACTTTTAATTACAATTATAATGGTTACAGTATAAAATGTCATTTTTTAATTTACATTTCTGTTATTTCCATAAATTCTGGGCATGACCTCGTTTAGAAAAAACAACGGGCAAACTTTTTCCCGCGTCATTCCAGGGAAAAAATCGTTTGTTACCTACCGTTTGAAGGTTACTGACCAACTTACGCGCATTTCAACCGACTTCAGTACGGTTTCCCGGTAATGAAGTAAAAAACGAAATATCACTCCGAATCAATATTGAATATTTACTTGACCTGGCCAATAACTTACTGGCTTATTCATTTGTACATTTTCCCAGTATTATACTAAAAAAAAATTACATGTTTATACCAAAAATATATTCTTAACTAAAGAACTTTTTAAATATAATTTAAAAAAAATCAATTAAAAATCGATTAAAATAAAAAAAATACCGAAAAGTAACTCGTTTATGAGTAATCTGTATAAAATATTTTGCAGATATGTTACCTAAATCAGATCATACACATTTTTTCCATTTGCTGTATGATTGAGGCTTGACCTAATTCATTCATATTGATTTTTATACGTTTCTCTATTCACTAAAACCTCTGCTCCAACGGTAGAACGGACCGATTTAGTTTTTTTAATCTTTTCTTTAATCTAACGCTGGTACTGGTGAAATACTTAGACTTTCGTTATCAGCTAGTTAGCTTGGGGACATAGTTACACGTCCCCACCGAGGGCACGGAGCCTACCCTTTTTTTTCCAGAGCGGAATGTTTTATGTATATTCCGTGCCCCCCGGGGGGGGGGGGACGCGGTAGTTATGTGGGATTCTCCTCCATAGCGGAGGCATACCCACTAAACCTCTCTGTTCCTCCAACGCATCGGGACGGGGCCACGGTCACGCTTTCGCTCTCGTCCGCGGCCACGGAGCCTTAGACTTTACAGGACTATAATTTAACAACGCAATATAACCAAGAGTTGTCACAATACTTGTCAGGAATCCAAATGTGTCAAAGATTCTAACGTCTGTTCAATAAAGTCAATAAAGCAACCGTATTCATTTGTCATCCTGCAGTACTGTACCGCCACAATGTACTTTGGGTACCCTGGAAATGAGAGCTACAACACTACCACTGAAATGTTGGTGTTTTTGAAACTATTCAGTAGTTAACTAAATACGTAAAACGAAAATTTTATACCCCTTTTTAAGAAAAATTAGCGAACACATAAATACGTTTTACTCATATATGTTAATATGGAAAAGAAGTATTTATATCTCCTTTATAGTCAAAGGCTTTTATTTAGAATTATGGTTGATCAAAAGCAGAGGAAGACCAAAGAAAGTATGGATAGACTGTGTGAAAAAGGATATGCGTAAGGGGGTAAATTCAGATATGACCGGTGATAGAGAAGTATTGAGGAGTAGTACAGATTATGCCGATGCTCTTTAAGAACAAGGGCAGGATGCTGATGATGATGATGAAGAACAAAGTCTAAATATCGAACAATTAGCGAAAATACATACGAAGTCAACAACGTGCAAGAACTTCTATCTAGAGTTTTAAACTACGTGTCAAATTCCTTTACGTAATTTGTTTTACAAACAAATGATTCAGCAAGTCATATGTTATAAAGTTAAACGATTAATTAGGTAATATGTAAGTATATAGAAGTATTAAAAATGCAAATATATATAAAGATAATGAAAGAAATCTAGAAAATGTTATCAGTAGGAATCAAGAAAATCAAACAAACATTCTCGAAGACTAATCCCGTGTGAAATTTCCAGAGATGGCGTGACTTCTAGTACATTATATAATAATATTAAAGAGCTATTCACAGTTAAAATATTTCTCACAAAGAAATAAATAATGTAGAAGTAAACACATAAAGTGACGAATTACATAAAATAAGGTTATTTGTGAAAACAAAAGAAAGACGAGTATCCAAGAAACCGTTAAAAATGGACTAGCCATCAATGTATAGAATCTATGTCTTTGGTTTCATTCAGACTAATATAACCTCCTTTAGTTGTCTCAATATGAAAACAAACCGAACACTTCCTGGGAATAAAATAAGATTTTCTCAATACGAAAGAGTAATATAAAGAATGTACTGTTGAACACATCTTCATCAATGCTCTTGGAAGACCAATTATCTTAAAATAGATTTTCACCTCTGTCTTATCTCAAATATAAAAACATCTCAAATATGACATTACCTTTATATTGCTATATACCTATATATATAAACTCACTCGCAACTGAAAGTAATTTTATTCCATTTGTAACTTCCTTATTAGATTGACGTTGATAAAATTAAAAATGCAAATCGAAGAGAAATTACAAGATTTTGATACAACAAAACTAGTTAGTACGCATCAAGATGAACTGCCTTGTCAACTTAAAGCGGTATTAAAGAAGATAGCTCATGAAGAAGGTTATTTAAACTATAATATTCTAAGCAGGTCTATATCCACAGAAGGTGGTAACTACATGGCTATGCTATATGAAGTAGACTTAAAAGGTAGAACCAATGAAGGAGAAAAAGAAACAAATATGTTTATAAAGCGAGTCATATCACAGGAACATGTAAAAATAATCAACCTTTCCGATATTTATTCTAGGGAACTATTTTTCTATAATGATTTAAGTAAAGTATTTAAAGAATTGGAAACAGAAGCTGATGTACCTTTAGATGAAAGATATAAATCTGTAAAATCTTACAATGAAAGTGATACGGAGGCAATAATAATGCAAAATCTTAACAAAGAAGGTTTCACAACGATATACAGGATGAATGTAATGCCACTAAAGTTCGCGGAGCTATCCGTGCAACAATTAGCAAGATTTCACGCCTTGAGTTTCATCATTGAACAAAAAAGACCGGAATATTTTGAAAAGAAAATAAAAAGCTTAAAACCTTCAATACAATATGGCGATGATTATGTTGAATTTTGCAAAAATATGTACAAAGTATCATCAAACCGACTCAGTAATGAAATAAAGGATAAAATAGATAAAAAAGCAGACGAATATATGAAAAATTATTTGACTGGTCATAAAACTGATGTTAAATGTCTCTGCCATGGTGATTACAGAATGAACAACATACTATTGAAATTAACGGTAATTTAATTTTCTATTACATTGCTATATGTTTACTGTGATCCCTTAAAGACAAGAAATATTGCGTGGTGCGATCTTATCGAATCTTTGTGAAGGCACGAGGAAGTATTTTCCTAGGGTCGTGCAGAGGGTCCGGTGGATTCCATTGGAGATCCCAGGACCCTGGCAGTCGCACTTGTTTAGCAACCGAGGGGGTTTTAGTAAGAATCTCACATAACCCTGTCTTTCATCCAAAAGACTGGGTATCTCACGAAGCTTTCCTCCACGATACAATAAAAAAGTGCTTACTGTCACATTACTTCAAAACCTAATTAAATTTCCCATCGTAGTTTACATAGGAAGAGACCTAATCTTTTTTTAAATGACTACTGTCATTTTTTTTGTTATATTGGTAGTTTACATTTGTTTAGAATTGAAATGCAGAGCCTAAATATAACCTATCAAGATTATCAAAAGCTTAGAAAAAACATATTTTTTCTAATACTAGTTTTAATTTAAATGTAACCTTTTTCTTTATTGCCAGTATTAGTTACAATTTAATATTTTCTTTTTTGCCAGTATTAATTAGAATTTAAAATTTTTCTTGATGGCCAGTGTTAATTTTAATTTTACATTTTTCTTGATGGCCAGTTTTAATTTAATTGTAACATTTTTTTTATTGCCAGTGTTAATTTAATTGTCACATTTCAGGAGGGGGAAATAACGGATGTGATTCCTGTCGATTACCAACTAATGTACTACGGATCGCCAATTGTAGATTTCTTATTCTTCATATTTGGTGCTACAGACAAAGAATTCCGTAGAAATCATTTCGTTCATCTAAAGGATATGTATCACGAAACGATGGAACAGTACCTTAAGTATTTTGACATTGATATAGACATAGTGTACCCAAAGAAGAAATTCGAAATGGATTTCGAAGATAATTTGGAGTTTGGTTTAGAATTAAATTTGTATATCGCACCTATTATATTTACTTTAGAAGATGATGTACCAGATTTTGATAAGGTTGATTTATTAGAAGTAAAGGTTAAGTTAGACGACAGATACTATGAAAGACTGCAAGGAGTTGTTGACGATATGATTGAGTGGGGTAAATTGTAAAATAAATCTGATAAGTAATAAAGATATTAAAATTTTGTTATTCATTTTACTCTCCAGTACCTTTTTGCAGAACCAGAATTAGTGTATGTGATTTCCAAGAAATGGGACTCTTACCATGATTAAGCTGTTAGAGCCCTCGATATTTCTTCCTTTACACGTTACTTCTTACGAACGTTATTATATTAAAAACAACGAAAGTATAAAGTTATATAGTGAACGTATTTATAATTTCAAATATTTTTTCAAATGTCACTTGAGTTATAACGATTAATTTAACAGCTTATGAACTGGATTCATTTAAACACCTTCAAAACAGTTCATTTTTTTCCATAAGGTGGCAAACGAGCAAGCGGCCACCTGAAATCGCTGAAATAGCGAAGTGACCGTTGCCCATAGACATACGCAATTGCATATGCGTTGCCTACCTTTCATCGACGGAGGAGAGAATGCACAGAAAGAAAATATCTTCCCTTCCCATGCATCCTCTCATTCGGAAAGTCTACTTCCACTTCCCATCCTTTCCTTTCATTCCAGCACTACTGGTTTATTATACTGGAATAATATGAAACAGGCATTACAAAAGCAAAGTCTTAGTATATCTCCATCATCTATTTGATTAGTTATATTAAAGACACAGACAACAAAGGTAAGCTTCAATGTTGTACAAAGCGCAATTTCGAGCAATAAATTTTGTAAATAACATTGCTATTTTGTGATACAGCGCTTTGAAAATGCAAAACACTCCCTATAAAGTTATATATTGTCTCCGAGGAATGCTATTTATATATTACTAGCTATCGCCCGCGACGCCGTCTGCCCGGGATTTACAAAACTCAATAAGTAGTCTATGTTAGTATAAGTTAGTCTATATGTGTTGTGACTATGTTCTACATCTATGCCAAATTTCAGCCGTTACGTAGATACTTTCAAACAAACATCCATCCATCCATCCATAAATAAAACTTATGTTGTTATACTTAGTTTACCGTACGCATACACCTCATTGTTTAATAGGTTACTGCTAAAATAACATATTATCTGGTTTTTATAAGAGAACCAGATGCGACCGACGATACGATAATACGCGTCTCTTTTATCACTCAACGATAGAAGAGCTAGTATAAATATTTATAGATCAGAACCCTGGGGTAAACAGACTGATAAAGTCCAAGCATTGTTGTAATCATTCATGTCCAGTAAATGCGGGTCCTTAGTCTGTATTGTTTACATGGATCGGTAGATGTAGACAATAGATATGGCAAAGTATAATTATGTAAAATAACATGTGTTTTGAAACTAAAAATAAATGAACACGAACAATTTCCGACAGAGGGCGCGGCGCATGTTCAAATTACTTTTTCGCATGTGCAAGTAACACGTAATGCTGTTTTGTTGCACGAATTCATAATGACGCCTTACATAAAGCAAATATTATGATAAACTGGATATTTCTAGTTACTAGTGGTTTTCCATTGGTCGAAATCTTACTTATATTATAAATGTGAATGTTTAGATGAATCGATGGGTGAATGTTTGCTTGAAGTAGAAGCATCTTCGGAACGGCTGAACGGATCTTGATGAAATTTGGTTTGGATAGTCTGGAAGAAAAAATAGGCTACTAATTATGTTTGTTTTCGTTTCACGCGGACAGAGTCGCGGGCGACAGCTATTTCAACCACAATTCGTAATCATTATGCGTGTCAAATTTCAAGGTCATTGGCGTATTCTCCTTAATAAGGACTATAAAGTTTCCAGTTCATGTATTAAAATAATATTAGACGTTTTATTTTAGTTTTCAAATATGGAAAATTAATATGTTTATTACTGAAAACTATATGCTTCTTTAATTTAAAAATAAATACCGTGTTATGGTTTGGTACCACGCGGACAAAGTTGGGGGCTAGTTCTATATACGTATATAATATCTCGTATATATAAACAAGTAAATAAAACAATGAACGTTATCTTTACACATTCACACTTATAGCGATTACTTTTAAGTACACTTAAAACTCAAGTAGACACAAACGTACAGAATCAATATAGTTATTTCAGTTACAAAGGTTTACGACGGTCAAAGACCCAGTTTAATTCTATACAGAATTCAGTTATTGATAATGATTTAAATTGTTTTATATCTGGTTATTAAGATAATTGACGTATAATAATTAAAAAGAATAACGTTTTTGTTTGTAATCGATAAAGCCTTTCGTTAGAAGTACAATTTCTATATAACACAAACGTTTATAAATCTATGTTGTCGATAATTAGCATGTATATTAATTAAAAATTGTAACTCTAAAATTTAAATAGAATTGATTAATAAACGTGCAATCAAATGATATTAATTTGTCGTTAAAGGCGGACTGGACTGGTTTACTGTCGTTACCGACTTGAAACAGTAGTGCGGTGACTTCGCAAATCTTTGAATTTCTTCACAGATATATGCAGGTTGCGTCACAATGATTTCCTTTATTGTTAGAACGTCGGATAAACGGTACATTCGAACCCTTGGCCTGCTGATTACAAATCAAGTGCTTAACCACTAAGCCACTGACGCTTTACCTAAAACGAAATCTCAGTGAAACAATATCAAATAACGAATCGATTGAATATAATAACAAATAAGATTATGATACATAGAAATTCAAGGTCAATACTTCCACTTATAGTGAAATGTTATCAAAAGAAAGAACTAAGCGTCCTTGGGAAACTGAATAGGTGGCCTTAAAAACATTTGAGCCTATGATTAATGATAATCCGCGTATAATAAACCTACAAGTACGACCTTGATCCATTTACATAATGATTTGCAAAACACGAACGCATAATGTCCGTATTATCTTGGGTATTACATTTTCTAATCACAGCAGATAACCTAAATAGGCTTTAGAGGTACTTTTATTAACATCATCATCAGCTCACTATATGTACCTACCGAAGGGCTCGGAGCCTACCCTAACTTAAGGGTGACTAGGCCTTATTCAACCACGCTGGCCAAGTGCGGATGGTTGACTTCACACATATCTTTGAATTTCATCTCAGATGTGCAGGTTGCATCACTACGTTTTCCTTCACCGTAAGAACGTCGGATAAATGTACATATGTAAATCGGAAATCGAAAAACTCAGGGCCACCGAAGCTCTATTTTTACTTTTATTAACAAAATAAGGTAAATCCTTCGACTACACCCATAACAAAGAGCTTGGGAGTGGCAATTATCAAAGTGTATTGAACATAGAAAACAGAGTTGAAAGGCCGATTTTTGATTTCTGCGTTTGTTCAGAGGAATTATTTTCTTCTCTTACATGTCTTTTACTTCTCGCTAATATTCCTCGTCCGTGGCCATGTCCGTGTTCTTAAAAAACCCGTAGGGGGTTTGACTGAAATGGAATCGTTCGTTCAGGAGTTGAAAAAGATATGTAGCAACAAGAAGTTTAGCAGAAATTAACAAAATTTTCTATACGGTCTACGAGAAAAAAAATGGGGAATCTCTGATAGAAAAAAAAGAATCTTATTCTATCCATATGTAACTACTGTCAGTTATTTATAAAATATTTTGATACATTATTGTTTGGTTACAGTCGGCAATTGTTTTTGATTTTGTAGTACAAAACATTTTGAACCGATTCCAACGCGATTTTCATTTATCCAAAGTCTGCGGTTTCACTTTTTATACTCGTCACATTCGCAAAACCCGTTGATCTGATTTAAAAACGGTTTTAACTGTTGAAATACTGAACTAAAATGATTCGTACATTTTGACTTCGTAGAAATATTTATACTATGAAAATGAAATGCGTATGAAATCGACTACCATTATCTGATAGTCGTATCGGTGAATGAACTGAGCGAAGAGCTTCAACCAACATCTCAAGAAGCTCTCGCTAAACAGTTTGATTAAGGGCCAGATACAAAAGGCAATTATCCTAGAAACCGCGCGCATCGTGAGAAAGTTCCTGTCTGCAGCCCTGACCACTGGTTATTTGAGTCATGGGATTCAGCACATCATGAGTTTAAACACATGTAAAAAATATATTGTACTGACTTCCGTCCGTACTAGGCTAGCTTGGTTAACTATGGGCCTTGTCAACCCTAACTTAGATAGGCTAGAACCCCTCGATGAGGCTATGAGGTCTATAAGAGCTGACCACACACTTTTAATAAAAAAAACTAAAAATGTGTTTTTATACGAGTATACGTCGGTATTTCGGCAGTGTCCTCTCCCATTTGGCTATATAAACGTGTTAAATCATTCAAGCGATCAGTCCAATACACTGGACACATTAATACAACAATAATTATTATTTATAGCTGTATAATATGGTAACACATCCAGTAATCTGTTGGCAATAAATTAACTGTTATAGCAACATTCGACCATACGTCTCCATTAGCGGTATGACGTCATAAATCTCACGGTTGACTAAATGCTCCACAATCGTTTGGACAATTACAACCACTTAATAAACTTAAGCTCACAGACTTCGATGGCTGGACCACCTCATGAGACGAGGGAAGATAGAAAGGCCAAAGCAGCATATAACGGGACCCCAACTGGCCGCCGACCCATCAGTCGACCCAGGTACCGCTGGCGAGACGCCGTAGAGCTGGATCTGCGGGAGCTACAAGCGATGGACTGGCAGGAGAAGGCGCAAGACAGGCGACTTTGGCGATCTCTTGTGACGCAGGCCAAGACACACTTTGGGTCGATGTGCCAGCGGAGTAAGTAATAAACTTTTATTAAACTGTAAAATATGATAAAATAAATAACAGAGAGAGATCTGGGTCATCATCAGCTCACTATAAGTCCCTACTGAGAGGCTCGGAGCCTGTCCTTAGTTAGGGGTGACCAGGTCATACTCAACCACGCTGGCCCAGTGCGGTTTGACTTCATAAATACCTTTGAATTACTTTGCCGATATATGCAGGTTGCATCAATGTTTTCGTTCACCGTAAGAACGTTCAATAGTACATATGTAAATCGAAAAACACATAGGCACATGGACGGGATTCGATCCCAGGACCC